GTAGGGAAAATTTCCATGCTTATTATACTTGAAATTGGCACTGAAATGCTTGAGAGATTAACTCTCATCATATGTATTTATAATGTAGGATTACAAAAAAAAACTCTTGATAATAAGGGTAAAGGTAAGAACAATATCTAATGAACCTAAGTCTGTCTAACTAATACAATAAAAATGATAACAGAAATAAAGGAAAGAAAAGATAAAGCTAATGGTGTTTATCTTAACAAATATCATCTCTACAAATTCTTGGAAGGTTATTTATATCATTTTCTTTTAATTCTAATGGTGAATATTTTATTTGTCTATTCCTTTTGGTTTAAAAAGCTGAATGGTAGGTAATTCAGGATAAACAAAGCATGCATCAATGATGAGGAAAATAATATAGTCAGAGAGATAATTTTCTTTTTTTTTTACTTGGCAAGCACTTGCATTTGTCATTTCTTATATAAGCCTATTGTGGTTGTTCTTCTTGCTTATGATGTTTTGGTCTGCAATTTTTGTTTTCTCCCCTTTATTCCTTTTCATGCCTTTTAGTTTTATTTTCCATATCCATTTCAATGCCTGGTGTAGAATAGGAAAAATTGGTGGGAAAAGCAAATCCAAAAAATTTGTTTAGTCATTTCATCTAATATGACTTTTTTCAGCTTGGTGGTGGTTATCTTTTTGGGCTTCCAGTGGGCTTTGTCGCTGACTCTATAGGTGCAACTGTTGGTGCAGGAGCTGCATTTCTTCTTGGTAGAACAGTAAGTCTTCAAGTTTTACATTTATTAGCTGTCAAAATAATACAATTTTTTGTCCACTACTTGGTACTGAATAGTTGATTCATGCTAGGTTTCTCTTTATTAATGCAAGGTGCTCTTTCTTCATGTACATGATTTTTGCAATGTCATTAGCATTTCAAATGAGCTTCATTTCGATCTGTGTTTTGTTTCCATATCATGCACTCATGTATCAATATTTGTACAGATTGGGAGGTCATTTGTTGTTTCTAGGTTGAAGGATTATCCGCAATTCAGATCAGTTGCAATTGCAATTCGGAGGTCTGGCTTTAAGGTTTGTGGACTTCATATTTTTGAACACTGGTGTATAATTATTGATTCTTTTAGACTTTTTCTTATATTCCTCTTGTAACCTTCTTTCTGGTTTTCTTATCTCTGATCTCACAACTTTTGGTGAAGTCAGTGGGTCATGAAATTATGTATTCTTTGATGTCTTCAATTTGATGTATTGAAGTACCTGTTAAAACAAAAAACTACCAAGTACCAAGTCTATCCCACTAGGTGGTGTTAGCTTCATGGATAATTGATACAATTAGATCTTCAAACACGATAAGAAAAAACAGTGAATTCCATTTAAAAGGGGCAAGTATAGTTTCTAATTGAGGGTCATCTTGGTATGTTGGCTAATGTTAATGAGGTTCACTAAACCAGAGATCATTTGTTAGGTGGATGTTTGACTCTTTAGTGGCAACTGCTCATGTGCAGTGTATCATGTGCTTTGCTTTGATGTGCACTCACCTTTCTAGTTTCCTATGGGGCCAATGCACAAAAGTACTACTCATTTCCTTTCTTTTAATTGGTCATAAATATTACTCATGTTATGGATCTCAATTTTTAAGGATCCTTTCGGGGGAAAACAGTAACATGCATTTGAAGCAACATGATTACACGAACCAACATTAGTCATATTCAGTTATTTAGCTTGGGTATTAGAATGTTGTTTAAAAGAGACTGTATTTCCTGTGTTTATAAAACTATCTATCCCTGTTAATTTGCCAATGGCATATTTGTGACAGTTTTTAGTCACTGGCATTGCTTAAGAAGTGTATTATTGTGATATTATTTTTTTAGTTTTGTTTGCACATGACTTGGTGTTCCTTTTGGTTATATTTTATTTGACCTTTTATTTTCCTCACCTGTCCTTACAGATTGTATTACTGCTTCGACTTGTTCCGCTACTACCCTTTAACATGTTAAATTATCTCTTGTCGGTGACTCCTGTTTCAATCGGGGAATACATGCTGGCTTCCTGGCTAGGAATGATGGTATGTTCTTTTTGCCAATAATCAGTTATATATTCAAGAGTTAGTCTAATAAGAAATTTCTATTGTGTGTATTGATTTTCAAATTTGTTTAATTTAAATTGGATTTCTTCTTGCAGTCACTCTCTCCCTTGCTGTGTATTACTTGTTTAAATTCTACATAATAATATACGATTCAACCAATTGAAAGGTGACAAGAATCAACTTTTGAAGCCAAATCATTATATAACCCAAAATAAAAAATCCAAACTCTACTTAATGAGGGTTTGAATTTGAAGTATATGGTCAAATGACTTAAATTATGAAAACTCAAAGGGCATCTTTCTAATCTCTATTCAATTACTCATGATTTAAATTATTAAATTAGGCAATTCTGGCTACACAGGTGCATATCACTAAAATAAATATAGTAACAGTGCTGAAATGTTTGTGATTGTGGTCTAATGTCGGGTTCCATTAATGTGCTCTACATGTTGTCTTATGTTTTAGGCTGTACGTATAATTAGCTCTTAGAAGCAAGTATCTTTTTCGGTACACTTGTTTCAGTTATTTGGAAAGTTTGAGGAAGCATTAGTGATTAGTTTAACTTCTCTTGGTTAATAATTCTATGAAAAAGGTTTCCTGATGTTCTTGCTGTCATTAATTATTGCTACAAATTTGGTACTGTTAGTAATTTAGCGTCATGTTGTATCTGTTCCCCGTTTGGATTGGTGGTAGAAATTACTGCCGTGTTCTTATAGTTCACTAGATAGCATGCCAATTACAACATGAATACCTGATACTGTTGCTATTGCAGCCAATAACACTGGCACTTGTATATGTTGGAACCACTCTTAAAGATCTTTCTGATGTGACACATGGTTGGGGCGAGTTCTCAAAGACTCGTTGGGTAAGAAATGCTATCCTCTATTACTTATGTTAATAAACCTTTTAAATACTTGTTAGATTTGTTTTATCTCTTATGTTGATGAATAGCCAAGATGCCTTGGGGCTTGAACAGTGCAATTTTCAATTTTCTTGAATGGACCAAATGTGTGTGCTTTATCTAATATCATCTTCAATAGCAGATATAATATAGATTTCTTTTTGTGAATGCAGGCATTTATCATTCTTGGTCTTGTGATATCTGGTAAGTTACATTGTTTCCTTGCGTAAAGTGTATATCCTGAAATTTTATACTGGATTTTATGTTTGTAGTAATAAGCAGGTCTGTCAGAATATCAAGGTCTTTTATAAATATAGGGTCTGTTTGTTTAAATTTTTTTTCTTAATTATTTAATAAAATAAATAAATAAATAAATATATATATATATATAT